AAAACTCTGAAGAAAAAATTGCCAACATACAACATACAAAAATATTCATACAAACAGTAAAGCTGTCCCTCAAATACAATGGCAAAATTAGGACATTTCAAGATAAACAGAAATTAAGGAAATTTGTAATTACCAGACCAACTTTATTTTTAAAATGCTAAATGATGTTCTTTGGACTGAGAACCAACAATTTGAGATTAGCAGACAGTAACCTGAGATTAACATATAAGACACCACGACCAGAACTCAATCTGATATTTTTGTTGTTAAGTATCATTGAGTTGGTTTCAACTCATAACAACCCTGTACAGGATTTCTGAGGAGTGGCTGGTAGTTAGCAGTCCAGTGCTTATCCCATAGTGCCACACCAGAAGTCCCAATCCAGATATTTGCTGCTGTCAAGTACCATCAAGTCAGTTTCGACTAATAGTGACCCTGCATAGGGTTTGCAAGGACTGACTTGGTAGTTTTGTATTGCCAACGTTATGGCTAGCAGTCCAGCACTTACCCTATAGTGCTAAACCCGAACTCCATTCTAGAGAGAAAAGCATTTAAAGAAAACAAACCGACAAGACTGAAAATAGGAAAACTAGAGATAGCAATTTATAATTAATTCAATTCCAAAGCAAAAAGAAGGAATAGTTTAGATACAGGGCTTCTAGATGGCAAGGAAGTCAAGTCAATTTCAAAGTAAAACAGATATTTTCAATGAGAAAAAAAATAACAAATTACAAGGTAACCTCAAAGAAAACTAATATAACTTCACATCAAAATAAAAAAGGGAAAATTAGAAAATATTTAGTAAGCATTAGCACAACAGGAATGAAAATTAAAAGAACATCCAAAAACAAAATTAACTCAGCACAGAAAATTATGTGGAACAAAGAAACAAGCAACACCACAAAAAAACACGTAACAATAAGATAGCAATCAATACATATCTATCAAATAATTATACTGAATGTAAATTGATAAGTCAAGAAACAGAGCCTTAGAATGGATAAGAAACCAGGATTCTTCAATGCGTTATCAACAAGAGGCACATTTTACTCACAAAGATAAAAACGGAATAAAAATCAAAAGATGGAAAAAATAGATCAAGCTATCTACAAAAAGTACATTTTACTCACAAAGATAAAAATCTAAAAAAATATATAGAAAAAATTCTGAAAAGTATAATTTAAAGTAAAAAAAAAAAAAAAAACAGAATAAGAGATAAAGAAAGAATTATATTATGATTAAGGGGCCAATTGAACAAGAGGCCATAATCAAAATAAATATCTATGCCCCCAACGAAAAAGTCTCAAAATACATAAATCAAATTCTAATAGAACTGAAGAAAGAAATAGAAAATTCTAAAATAATAGTAAGAGATCGTAATATACCATTTTAGTACACCATTTTTGAAGAATAGAACCAGAAATTTAAACAACAAAATCAAGCAACTTGACTTCATAGACACATATAGAGTACTCAATCCAACAACAGTACAATATACATTCTTTTCCAGTACATATGGAATCGTCTCCAGAATAGATTGTATAATAGGCTGCTAAGCAAACCTCAACACATTTTGAAACATCAAATATTATAAAACATCTTCTGAGATCACAATGAAAGTCCCATAAAGTTAGAAATCAACAATAGGAAGATCAAGGGGGGAAAAATCAAATACATGGAAATTGAATAACACCCTGCTTAAAAGTTACTAGGTAATAGAACAAATAAAAAGTGAAATAGAAAAATTCCTGGAATCAAAAGAGAATAAAATTGTAATGTACCAAAAAACCTTTGGAAAAAAGTAAAAGCAGTGTTCAGAGGGCAATTTTGCTCATGAGGAATCTGTACATGGATCAAGAGGCAGTTGTTCAAACAGAACATGGAAACACTGAACGGTTTAAAATTAAGACACGTGTGCAACAGGGTTGTATTCTTTCACCGTACTTATTTAACCTGTATGCTGAGCAAATAATCCGAGAAGCTGGGTTCTGTGAAGAAAAACGTGGCATCAGGTTTGGAGGAAGACTCATTAACAAGTTCCGATATGCGGATGATACAACCTTGCTTGCTGAAAGTGAAGAAGACTTAAAATACTTACTGAAGATCAAAGACCACAGCCTTCGGTATGGATTGCATCTCAATGTAAAAAAAACAAAAATCCTCATCACTGGACCAATAAACAACGTTCTTATCAACAGCGAAAAGATTGAAGTTGTCAAGAACTTCATTCATCTTGGATCAACCATCAACACTCAAGGAAGCAGCAGTCAAGAAATCAAACGATGTATTGCATTAGACAAATCTGATGCACAAGACTGTTTTAAAGTAATGAAGAGCAAAGATGTCAGCTTGAGGACTAAGGTGTACCTGACCCAAGCCATAGTATTTTCAATAACCTCATATGCATGTGAAAGCTGGACAGTGAATAAGGAAGACCGCAGAAGAATTGATGCATTTGAATTATGGTGTTGGAGGAGAATATTGAAGGTACCACGGGCTGCCAAAAGAACAGACAGATCTGTATTGGAAGAAGTGTAGCCAGAGTGCTCCTTGGAGGCCAGGATGACCAAACTTGGTCTCTCATACTTCAGACATATTGTCAGGAGGGACCAGTTGCTGGAGAATGATATCATGTTTGGTAAGGTGGAGGGTCAGAGAAAAAGAGGAAGAACCCCAGAAAGATGGATTGGCAAAGTAGCAGCATCAATGGGTCAAGTGTGGCAACAATTATGAGGTTGGCCCAGGACCGAGCAGTGTTTCATTCTGTTGTACATCGCGTTGCTATGAGTAGGTACCAACTCGATGGCACCAAACAACAACATTAACATGAAGAATTGAAGTCCAACAAATTAAAAAATCTAGAAGAAATAGACAAATTTCTGGAAAACACATGACCTACCTAAACTAACAAAGACTGAAGTAGAAAACTAGAACAGGCCTATAGTGAGAGAAGAAAGTGATTAAGTCACTATAAAAACCCCAACTAAAAAAGTCCAGGCTCATTTGATTTTACTGCTGAATTTTACCAAACATTCAGAGAGGAGCTGACACCAATTATACTCAAACTAGTCTAGAATCTAGAAAAGGATAGAAAACTCCTGAATCCACTTTATGAATTAAGCAGAATTCTGATATCCAAACCAGACAAACACATCACTAAAAAAGAAAATTTTAGACCAACATATCTCATAAACAGAGATATAGAAATTCTCAACAAACTCCTAGCTAATAAAAATCTAACAATATATGAAAACAAACAAAAACATTATGACCAAATGAGATTCATACCAGATATGCAAGAATAATTCAATATTTAAAAAGCATCAACACAATCTACCACATAAGTAAACAAGGGTTGGGGGGAAATCACATGATCATATCAATTAATACAGAAAAGACATTTGACAAAATCCAACATTCATTCCTGATAAAAACACTGAACAAAATAGAAATAGAAGTGAAATTACTCAACAGTCCTGGTGTGGCACTGTAGGATAAGCACTGGACTGCTAACAGTAAGGTTGGCAGTTCAAACACATCAGCTACTACTTGGAAACCCCACAAGGGTTGCTGAGTCTGAATTGACTTGATGGCACTAAACAACCACAACTTACAAAATCAATAGCCAACATCACTCAAAAAGTTGAGAAATAGAAGCCATTCTCCTTGCAAACAGGAACCACTCCTATTAAATATAGTTCTGGAAGTTTTAGGCAGGGTAACAAGACAAGAAAAGGAAATTAAAGACATTCAAATTGGGAAAGAAGTAAAATTCTATTTGCAGGTGATATAATCCAAAACTGAGAAAATCCCAAAGACTGTGCAAGACAATTACTTTAACTCATTGATAGCTTTGGCAAAGTGGCAGGGTATAGGATCAACATACAAAAATCAGTTGGATTCCTCTACATTAATGTTGTTGTTGTTAAGTGCCACTGAGTCAGTTCTGACCCACAGCAACCCTGTACAGGGTTTCCAAGGAGCAGCTGGTGAGCTTGAACCACAGACCTTGTGATTCAAAGCAACTTTACAGTCCAGCACCTTAGCCCACAGAGCCACACCAGGACTCCTTACACTAACAGAGGTCTGAGAAGCCTCATCTTCCTCCTGCAGAGCAGCTGGTGAGCTTGAGCTGCTGGTGTTGTGGTTCACAGTCCAGTGCTTATCCTATGGAACCAACGCACTCCCCATACACACCTAGAGTTGTTGTGCAGCTGAATCGGTTCTGACTCACATTGACCTGGTAATGGGTTTCTGAGGCTTTATTTACATCTTTGAGGAAGCAGAAAGCCCTCAGAATGGCTAACAGGCTCCAACTATGGACCTTATGGTTCGCAGTCCAGTGCCTATCATATGCAGCCACCATGATATACATACACATACACACACAAACATATATACATGTACATATATGGTTTTTTAACACACACACACACACATATATATATATGGTTTTTTTTAAAAATTGTTAACATTAAGTCTTCATAAAATATAATTTTTGGTGTCACAGACCTTCAAGTGACCAGATCACGGACTAAAAGAGATAAGACTTTAAGCTTGGTGCTTTTATCGACATATTAGTTATATTTTAATTCCTAAACACTTTCCTTACAAGACACAAGTATTTTTTCAGAAATGATCAGTTAAAGTGGAGTATTATAAGCAACTTGTAAGCTTTAAGTCTTTTTCTAAAATTATTTAGTTTTGTCTTTCATTTCACTGTGTTACTTTTATGGCCCATAAAACGTGGTTAGAAAGACTCACACTTTTGACATGTGCATATGATATGTCTAATTTGCAAGTTCATCAAGCATGGGAGATTACCTGGATTTAGCTTGCTGAAAAAACATTTATCAAATACAAAAGGCCACTGATTTTTCAGATTAAGTTACTTGAAAGATGAATGATAAGAACAGTCACCAGATTTATTAACAAAACTATGGATTTTTAGAAGCTTGTTAGTTTTCACCTAATTGGATAAGCACAAGGTTTGTTTTTACCTTCCGGTGGCCTGTTGGATGTTGCCACAACGACGACCCCGTTTTTGAACAGATTTTCAAAAAGCTGTTTCAGAATCATGGCATCAGCAATGTCAGTGACCTTTGGACAACAACACATTTGTTTTATTTTAATTTCATTTCTGCTTGAACAAATTTGCTAATGGCTCATCTTTCTTTTTTTTTTTCAGACGGAAGCGAATTCCCAGAGAAAAATTTTAATTATCATCAAGGAGAAAAGAGTAGATAATTAAAAGCATGAAAGACAGTATAGCACTAGTTTAAACTTGACTCTTCTTTTCTGGAAGCCTATCATTTCTACACAAATTATCAAATGCTTCAATACTAACTTGTATTATAGAACTACAGGTGGAAAGCGTAGTAATCGTTCTAAACATTTAGGAAGTCTAATTAATTAGAACTAGCATGACCAAACCCCTCCTCCCACCCCACATCCTCCAAAAAAAAAAAAAAAAAGAGAGCGAGCGAGAATAAAAGAGGGGGGCGAAACACACAGGCTGTTTTGAGATTTTTCTAATACCTTTCTGGCAAAGGTCCCTGGAAAGGTGACTTTAAATGGTCATGGGACTTTAGAAATAAGGACAAGTAGCCACTGAGACATTATCAGCTGCTGTTGAAAATAGAATGATATGACATAGATACTATTGTGCGATTGTTGCACAAAACAATTCAACAGATGGCCCATCACAAAAATAAGCAATTTCATTGTTCTTTTTAAGTGCCTTCTATTACTGTCCATGAATAATCAAAAGGCACTGCAGTCACTTCCAGCACAGCCAGGCTCTGCTAACCTTCGCAAACACAAATATTCCTTCTACTAAAAAAAAAAAAAAAAACCATTGTGAAGACTGGTTAGCACAGTGCTTTAAAAAAATAACTTCCTGGCAAAATTAGTGGTGATGGTGGTTATGGGCCATGGAGTCAGTTTCAACTCATAGCGACCCTGTATAGGGCTTCCGAGGCTGTAAATGTTGACTGGAGCTAAAAGCCTTATCACGTAAACGGCTGGTAATTACGGAACTGCTGGCCTTAAAGTTAACAACTCAACTCGTAACCACTACAATTCTGGCAAAATTGGAGGTGCAGATAAATGCAGAGAAAACTATTCTAGGTTAAGTTACAGAGAGATACATAGAACTTTCTTGTATGTTTAATCTTTTCCAAATTTTATTTTAAATGCATACTAAAAAGTAAACTTAATGATAACTTTAGAGAAGCATAAAAACCTCAAAGAAATTTGGCAGTTAAGGAGAGGAGGAACGTTGACTTCAAAACTAATAGATACTGAAGGTTGAGATGCATCCCTCCAACTTCTCCTAAAAATATAACAACATGGGTTGTAGGTACTCCACAATTTAAAAAATACTTTGATCTTTCTTTAATAGCACACTTCAAATTAACCTCAATAAAAATGATGTGCATATGTATAATTAATCACAAAATATATCAGACTGTTATTTTTAAATCATAGAAACTAGTAGAATTATTTAAATTAGATCAAATATGAAACTCTATCAACTACACAGCCGTACCATAACAAACAACAACCTGGGTTACACAGACCTAAAACACCTTTCTCATTACAGCTGGCATCCTACTCAAAGAGTATTTTCCTTCTCACCTGAGCAAAACAAAACAAAACCCATGAAATGGGGATGTGCAAGTTTGTTTTGTTTTGTTTTGTTTTTTGCTGTCTCAGTCTGTCACTTTTAAACGTTGTTAAGTATCATTGAATTGATTCCAGCCCATAGGGACCCTGGATAGGGTTTCTGAGGAGTGGCTGGTGGGTTTGAACCACCTACCTTGAGGTTAGCAGTCCAGAACTTATTAACTAAAAAATGGCTGAAATTTCCTTAAATTAAAAATACTTCAGGAACTTCCAAAGTAAAGATTAAAACGAAACAGAAAATAGTGCTGGTATTATTTACTTTGCAGCCTAGGATCCCTGTCAAATTTTGCTTCCAAAAAAACACACAGAGAAGGTCCTTTTCAAATGCTTAAACACCCGTGGCATTTCTGATGAGAGGACAGAACAAGCTGGCAAATTTTAGAAGCAACTGCATTTTTAAATTGGACTCCCACTACAGTGACTTTTAAAAAGAATGATGCCAATTTAAAACTACCCAATTTCTGAGAATACAAATGCTCATCTGACTATATCATTGATGTTTTTCTAAAAAAAAATTAAAATAGACTTTGGGCCCTAAGTTTCAGAAAAGTGAGGGGACATTTAGCTAACAATATGATGCAAAGGTTTAAACTGGAAGTTGAAGAAAGCAAACAATAAAGGCTTGTGGTTGAGGTATAATGTGTTCTTTTGTATTGAAGAATGTTTCTGCCGTATCAGAGTAAATTAACTTGGAGAAACTATGACTAATTAATAAAGCAGGAGTCACTTGGGGTAGCCAGTTGCCACTTTGGAGCTTGTCCCCATAGTTGTTCAGCTTTACTGGGAAACAGTAATTTTACAGTATAAGTGAACAGAAGACAAGTGGTAACACATTCTTGGAGCAAGGGTTTTTCTCCAGCACCCAGCATTTCATTACCACCAGGAACAAAAGAAAAAAGCTGCAGATCACCGGTAAGGGGAGCAGGCTAATACAGAGAGTAGAGACATTTCATTAGCATTAAAGAGAAAAGATTTTTTATGACCTAGAGTTGCTTTCCATTATGACTCACTTAAGTAAAATAGAAAAAAGAATCTAATGGTTAATTTACATGTGTAAGTGCTTGAATCTCAGTCACCCACTGATTGGTACAGCGCCATATAATGAGTGACAAACATAAGCATGCATTATCAGTAATTAGTATTAGCACTAAAATAAGCACCTATTTTTTATTAGCAGTTTTTAATAGCTTTCCTGCTTTATAAAAATGGTTAAAACAATTTTTGAAATGATATTGATAGCTTATGGAGGAGAATTTTGCATGATATTCTGCTCATCAGAATTCTATTTTTTTTAAAGTGTTTGTAAAACATCTATCCAGTGTCCCTAAAGAGATATGAAGAAATGCATTTTTTTTTAAAAAAATCAGTTTCCTTCAGTATTCTAATGTCTTCAGAATCATAAACAGTTTAACAAGAAACATAAATATTCAAAGAGGACATAATGAAGACCCTAAAGAAAACTTTGAGGATAAGCTATTCTTTTATTTCACATAAATACAACCTATCTAGGCACATTCCTCCAATAAAATAAGAATAGTGCATCTGATACCACAGGTAAAATCTAAGTGCTAAACATAAGAAAGATGACCAAATAATGGAAAATACATTATTCAATGGAATCTGAATGCTACCAGAGGATAATCTTTACTTTCTTAACCTCAAAAATACAAAAAAGATAAAACATATCCTTGCATTTAAGGAGCAATAATTCCCACTCATCTTCCTAGTAAAATAAATATACTACTTAAGACCATCTAAGGACCAATAATAACTAGTTAAAAATTAAAACTAGCAATCTGGGTCAACTTTAAAAGTGAAATGATCAGACATTCTGTCATTAAACATAAAATGTCAAAAATATGCTTGCCTAATAAATTAGCAATTTATTGTAGTAGGGTTAATAGATTCAAGGATCATTTTCAGTTTATCTCATTAAAATATTTACTAAAACCCCACCCGACTCAAGGCTTTACATGAGGACCACTTCATGTACAAAGTGTCTCAGGGGAAAATGCTTTGCTCTGTAAACTTTCACTTACAGCACAATAAAAAACTTGATAAAGAGACATACGCGCTCTGGAAGATGTAGGACATAGGTATCAGTAGTGAGTAAAAGCACTAATCCTGGATTCCAATTATGAATTACTAGCTGTGTAACCTTGGGCAAGTTACTTAATCTCTCTGACCTTCAATTTCCTCAACAATATAATGAAGGCAGTAAAAATATCTATCTTGCAAAATTATTACACAGTAAATGCTCAAGAAATACTATCTATGCTTTTGTAAGATAGTGTAATTCTATACTATTTATAGGTATTGTTGTTGTTAAGTGCCTTCCAGTCAGTTCCAACTCATAACTATAGATGATACTAACTGCAAGGTCACCAGTTCAAACCTACCAGCTGCTCCGTGGGAAGATGATGATTTACAGCCTCAGAAACACTATATAGGATCGCTATGAATCAGAATCAACTGGGTTTGTGTTTGGGGGAACGATCCGTAGTACAGTAACTAAGAACACAGGGACATAGAAAGCACTTAATAAATAAGTTAATTTTATTACTGGACTCCTGGTGTGGCACTGTAAGATCAGCACTGGACTGTGAATAAAATGGTTGGCAGTTCAAATCCACCAGCTGCTCCTCAGAAACCGTCTACAGGGTTACTATGAGTGGGAATAGACTCCATGGCACTTGACAACAGCAACAGTTTTATTACTGAATAGATAGAATAGATGAAGTGTAAGCAGTCCCTTAAGTAGATAGGCAAAGTCTCAGGTAGTTAATATAAAGTGAATTTAACTAACAAATAAATGTTGAAACGTCAACCATATTATTACATGATGTTGTTGTTACATGTCATCGAATCGGTTCATAGTGACCTTGTATAGGGTTTCTAAAGAGCAGCTGGTGAATTTGAACCACTGACCTTGCAGTTCAAACCTACCTTGAGGTTTTTAATATTTACAGTATGGTGCCACCCCAGGGCTCCTTATTATTACATAAAGGAATGTAAATTAAAGCAAAAAGATACCATTGTCCTGTGTTAATTTTTTTTAAAGTTAGATAATCCAGAATATCAATAGAAAAAATAGACTGGAATAGATCTTGGGTTTTGCAAATACTGGTTTTGCCTAAAAAACACTACTGCATATAGAGAGTGGGACTTTTAATTATTAGGGAAACTACTTGCATAGTTATCTGTACTTGTTGTTGTTGTTAAGTGCTGTCAAACTGGCTCTGACTCATAGCAACCCTGTACAGGGTTTCAAAGGAGCAACTGTTGAGTTTGAACCACTGGCCTTGAGGTCCTGTACTTTATCCCACTGGTGGTGGTGATGATGTACCGTGGAGTCGGAAGCGACTTATAGGAACCTTGCACAAGGTTTCCAAGGCTGTAAATCTTTACGGAAG